CTCTTCTTCTTCTACAGCTTCCTCTATGGTATGATCCCAGCCTTCCGTTGGCAGGTATTCTAACACTGAATGTGGACTGGTTTCACCTTGCAGCTGGATTGCCATTATAGTGTGGCTTTTATTTTTGGCAGCTTCCTTGATGAACTGTAGCATTCCCAGTTCTGCCACTGGTATACCATCAAGCTCCACTGCCAAAGGATGCCACAAGCAGCAGCACAACCCCACAATTAATGTGTTGTGGGCTTGGGTAACAACTGGGAATGTTTCCTTCACTATGAATCTCCATGTATCTTGTCAACTAGGGCAGTGAACTCACTCTGCTTGCTATTACTTGAGGAATTCAAAACTAGCAGCGTGTAGGAGAGGGAGCGTTCTCAGTGGCCACACCAGAGCTGTGGGATATTCTTCCCCATATCATGCAGCATTGAACAGATTATGGCAAGGACATGCTCGTTACACCGTCTGGAATCGGCCCTCCCAGAAAGACATAAAGCCAACATAGGACAGTACCACTGAAACCTAATCCTGCCAGACAACCCAGAGGAATGCCATATGATTGATGGTATCAAATGCCACACAGAGGTCCAGGAGAACCAACAAGGATACCGCTCCCCCACCAGTAGATCGGTATAGATCATCTCACTGGGTGACCAAACTGGTTTCCATACCATGACCTGCTCAGCATCCAAACTGGAAAATACTCAGGCTGTGGTCAGACGTGCAGTTCGATCCACTGTTGTCCCACCTCTAATTAATCCAGGTTATTTTGTAACAGAGAATATTGATCACACTCACCCCTTTTAGCACACTTCAAAGCATTTTTACCCTGTCCTAGATTGATCAGACTAGCAGCCAGGGAATGTTACTGTTGGCCATTTTTAAAAAAGTTTGTCCTTTGAGTGTGCTCACAAGCCCTGATGAGCCTGCTGGGATATGTAATTCACTGCCATCCTTCCTCTCTAAAATTTTCAATTAACCTCTTCCCCAAAGCACAGGAAAAAGCTGAAGTATAGAGGCGTCTTTCTTTGAAAGTTTTTAAAAAGAAAACAACGTTTTGAGCAGCACCTGTGGGAGAGGGAGAGAGAGGTGCGAATATGCAGTTATGCGCACATCGCTAACTAGTAAAAAAATGGCGGCTAGAAAACAAGAGACCACTCAGATCTGCCTGGTAGCTTGGGTGCACAACAGAGCAATCAGACAACAGGAAATCCATTTTGAAACCATTTTGAAACAGAACCGGACTTTCACAGATATCAAAGAAACACGCAGTAAAGGGGGAGGGGGGAACAGGACACAGATAACTGGGGCACAACAGAAAGATGTTGCTGTCTGATCGTGCATTTTAAATCTGTAAGGGAACAGCAATGGATCAAACTGCATGTCTGATCACAGCCCCAGATAATTTCAAAGAAGTGTAAATACAATGAAATAAAATACATACATCTTTGGTCCTCCAGGTTTGTCTGAAGCTGAGGCCACTCTGAAGAAAAGAAAGAAAGAAAAATCCCACTTAAAAATAGTTATTGCAATATTTCAGTCATGTTCTATTTTCAAACGCCCCAAAGTAGTTCTCAGTTTTCACAACACAGTTTCCATCAGGGCTATTTTTGGGCAGGAACGCACAGGAACAGAGTTCCGGCTGACTTCAGAGTTGGCCATGCCCACTACAGCCAAAACCTCTGCGTGCATGGCGACAGAGGGAAGGCCTGGAGAGTGACCCCCTCGGCGACTCTGAGGCAGGCGGGCCAGGGGGCCCCCTGGAAGGATCGGGGAGGCATTTAAATGCCTCCTCGTGCCTTCCCTAGCCTGTCCAAGGGCTGGCTTGCCCAAGCTCCCTGCAGCCGCGGGGCGCCTGAGCAAGCCAAGGGAAGGAAGGAAGACACGGGTGCGGCCTAATATGCTAATGACCTAGGGGGTATGGCCTAATATGCTAATATCTGTCATTGGGTGTGGCCTATTATGCTAATGAGTTCCTGCTGGGCTTTTTCTACAAAAAAAGCCCTGGTTTCCATACTTCACAACACTGACATGCCCCATCTTTCTTAGGAGACAGTCGGTACTCAAAATGGGGGACGACAATAGATATCATTAAAATATTAAAATTAAATTAATTAAAAGCATATAGCTTGGAAACATGTAATTAAGAACAGTTAAGCAACAGCCCAGTCAAACCTCCCTAATTCTAGGGCCGAGTTCAACACCAACGGCTACCTTGGCACATTCCCGAAGTTCAGTCAGACATAAACCCCGGAGCAACGTCGCGTTTTCTCGTCTAGGGCAAAACCCAGTAATCACAGACTTGCAATGCACAAAATATTATGTGTTTCTGGGTTTCAAACAGTAGGTGTTAACTTCTTCCCTTCATCTGCAGCAGTGAGGACGTCCAGGGTGGTATTTCCAGAGTCAAAGGGCACAGACAGGATATTTGACATAGGTGCAAAGCTAGTGAAAATGATACTGGTGAAACTGTATTCAGCACAGGAAGTTCTAGCCCCAAACAACTCCAGCAGTTAGGGCAGCCGGCTTCCAAGGTGGCGCCTAGAGATCTCCTGGAATTACAAGTGATCTCCAGCCAACAAAGAAGAGTTCCCCTGGAGAAAATGGCTGCTTTGGAGGGTGGGCTGTATGGCAGTTTACCCAGCTGAGGTCCCCCCCCCAAATCCTGCCGTCCCTAAACTCCATTCCCAAATCTCCAGTAATTTCCAAACCTGGGGTTGGCAACCCTATCCAGCATCAACTTAGCTAGGAAACGAAGAGGCGAGTATCCTTTTTTGTGTGTATTTGTGTGTGTGTGTTTATGTGCTTGCGAGCCTGGAGGTTGTGGTGACTTCTGGCGACCCCTAGTGGGACTAGGACATTTCAGAGAGGTGGTTTGATAATACCACCTCTGCGTCCCGGCCTTGGTATTCCTTGGAGGTTGCCCTTCCAAGTACTTTCCAGGGTCGGACCCGCTTAGTTTCCGAGATCTGGCAAGATCAGGCTTGCCTGGGCTATCCAGGTGAGTATTCCTCTTGACCTGATTGCAGCTCCTGTACTTGCGAGTACCTTTAATATCCACAATCCTTCAAAGTCTGGCTGTGATTCAGTTTACATATCCAAGGGTTGGCCACCAAGTGTACACTCGGTAACGAAACGCAGCCAGCCAAGCAGGGCTCGCTAACAAATACACCTGCATACGATATCCAGGTTTGTTGCGTTCACCTTTTACATTTTAGGTGCCCGCTTAAGAATGACTTTGGTGCACTCTTAATAACATGACGTGTGAATCTGCCATAAATTTATTCTCTTTTAAATAGATACACAAATATCATGCTTGTCCTTACTGTTTCTTATCATTTGTGACGACGGCTGCAGCTGAATTTGGCGGAGTCCAGGACTGCCTAGACAAAGAAACAGAAGCACTGAATTCATTTACACATTGAACACATGAATATTTTCCAGGAGATATGTAAAGGATTGTGAACGAGAACATGTGTGCGTTGTTTAGACACACCCCAAGGACATCAAAGAGAGGGGAAGGCAGAAGACTTTTCATGCCAGGGACCCAGCCCCCGATGATAACCGGTTCTATTTTGATTGACATTTGCTTTGCATGTCAAGAGTTGTTAAGCCTCTTCAGGAGTAAGATTTGCATTGAACAGCGTGATAAAAATACAATAAATATACATGCATGGACAGACATAACACTTAGCAATTTGCATAGATAACACTTTAAGCCTGTTGCAGGAACTTTATTATATCACCAATCTTTTCAACTCATCCCAACAGTACTGAAGCATTGAGGCTAAGAGACAGTGGTATGAATAAAGTCACCCAATTAGGGTTGCCAGGTCCAACTCAGGAAATATCTGGGGACTTTGGGGGTGGAGCCAATAGCAAGGATGTGACATCACTTTTGTGATGTCACTAGGGTTGCCAGGTGAGGCCAACAAGCCCGAAGGGACTTCCATTTAAAAGCATTCCTTCTAAAAGCTTTCCCTCCATTGGAAATAATGGAGGATGGGAACAACTTGTTTTGGGGCTCATAGAATTGGACCCCTGGTCCAATCTTTTTGAAATGTGGGTGGTGTTTTTTTTCAGGAGAGGCACCACCAGCTATGCTGAAAATTTGGTGCCTCTGCCTCAAAAGATAGCCCCCCCCTTAGAGTCCCAGATACCCATGGATTGATTCTCCATTATACCCTACGGGGACCAGTCTCCATTATACCCTACGGGGACCAGACTGCTTTCTGACAGTCCTGAAGTGGGGGGAGGGGCTCCAAACCAGGGGATCCCCTGCCCCCAGCTGGGGACTGGCAACCCTACAGCCAATGGGTTCATGTTTGAGGCAAAATTTGAACTCGGAACTTTCTAGTTTACAGTTTGGCCTGTTAGGCCAGTGGCTGTTAACCTTTTCTGACTCGGGACCCACCTTTAACCCTAGGGCTGCCAACCTCCAGGTGGGGGTGGGGCTAGAGATCTCCTAGAATTACATCTGATCTCCAGACTACATAGATTATTTATTTAAAGCACTTTTCCTACTTCTCCCGGACAAAATGGCTGCTTTGGAAGGTGGACTTGTGGCATTATACCCTACGGAGGTCCCTCCTCTCCCTAAAGCCCACCCCCCACCATAAAATCTCCAGGTATTTCCAAACACGGAATTGATAACTCCATTTAACACCCCCCTCCCGATAGCATCAGTGACCCTGTAAGATGTAAGCATGTAACATCAGAATCATGTGACAGGAAGAGGAGGAGCCAGAGTCTCTGTCCCCTGGCTGTGCAAAAGAAGTAATCTCTTCTACCGGTGTGTGGCATCACCTTGCTGTTCTATTGCTATTCTTAGAATAGGCTCAAAACAAAGTAAAGGGTATGGCCGCCTTGCTCTGTACCCACAGGCCTTAGCAGCAGGTCCTTCCAAAAAGTGACCTGAAAGCATTTCTGTAAGGGCTGATGGCTTGGCAGTAGGGTTGCCAAGTGGCACTTACCTTGCCGGCGGGGGACTCCCGTATGGATCCTGGCGCGTGCCGCATGCATGTCACAGGGAAGTGACGTCATGACGCCGGGAACGCTGGGGGCGGGGCCACGACCATACAAGGGAAAACCATAGAGTTTTCCCTTCTATGGCTGTGGCCCCGCCCCCAGCGTGCCCGGCGTCATGACGTCACTTCCCTGTGACGTGCACACTGGGGCAGGGTTCCCCCCGGGGCCCGATTCCCCGGCGTCGGGGAATGGGCCTCTGGGGCGGGGGTTTTTCCACCCCCCGGGGAGACTTGGCAGCCCTACTTGGCAGGTGGGGCTCTGAGGCCAACCTGAGGGTCCTAACCCATGGGCTGAAATGGGGTTGCCAACCTCCAGGTGGGACCTGGGGACCCCCAGGAATTACAGCTCCTCTCCAGACTACGGAGATCAGTTCCCCTGGAGAAAATGGATGCTTCGGAGGGTGGACTCTAGTTGCAAAGCATGTATACAAGGTTATACTATATTAATTCTCCGTGAGCAGTATGGGTAAAAATACCTCCAGTCTTCTGAATAAATCAGAAGAGCCATTTGAAATGTAAAGAGAATTCTTTTGAAAGCTGACTTTTTAGATTCCATGCTGCCAAAAACCAAAAAAGGCTGAAGATGCAAAATATGTAATTTAATTGTATTAGAAAAAGCTCACAGCGCTGGTGAAGTCTCTCACTAAAAGCGCCGATGCAGAAGTGTTCTTGAAAATCATGTGAACATGCTTGAAACCCAGCCTCACTACAACAACAACAACAACAAATGTATTCACAGCAAAAAGCCAGCACTCTAATACAACAAACTAACTCAAACTAAATTCATACAACCACAAGCATAAATATTTTAATCATCCCAGCCTCACTATTTAATTGATGAGACTGAGAAAACCACAGTTACTGCCAGGATTTCAGGCTACTTTTTTTTAAATAATCCAGAGCCAGTAACATACAATCAACATGTCAAAAGACTTGACTGAGGGAGTATGCTTTTCGTATTGCTGGATAGAGGAACCTACTCTCAATTGTGTGTTATTTTGACGTTTTATGCACGGAACAACTTCAGTGACACCCTCTTGTTTACATATTTCTATGCCTTTCATCAAATAATCACAAGGAGTCATGCATCTCAAACGTGTGTAGCATTATGAATGCAGTTTTAAAGTCTGTACCCAGTGAGTCTCAAAAAACGGAAAGGTTATTTTCAGAGGGGTAGCCGTATTGGCCTGGTGGTAGTGGAAAGGTCCACCAAATCGCAGCTGATGTCTAGCAACCCTGGCGGTAGGGTTGCCAAGTTGTACCTTGTCCTGAAGCGGGGGACTCCCGGGTCGATCCTGGAGCGCGCACGCACCGCATCCATGTCACCAGGAAGTGATGCGACCACGCCGGGCACGCTGGGGGCGGGGCCACGACCATCCGAGGGAAAACCATAGAGTTTTCCCTCGGATAACTGTGGCCCCGCCCCCAGCGTGCCCGGCGTGGTCACGTCACTTCCTGGTGACGTGCACGTTGGGGTGGAGTTCCCCCTGGGGCCCGATCCGCTGGCGGCGGGGAACGGGCCTCTGGGGCGGGGGTTTCCCTGCTCCCCAGGGGGACTTGGCAAGCCTACCTGGTGGGGTTTTCAAGGCAAGAGACTATCGGAGGAGGTTTACCATCGCCTGCCCCTGCATAGCAGTCCTGGACTTCCTTGGAGGTCTCCCATCCAAGCACTAACCAGGACTGACCCCGCTTAACTTCTGAGAGCTGAGGCTGACAAAAGATGAGCTGAGGTGGTCTGCCATTGCCTTCCCGTACATAGCAATACCAGTCTTCCTTGGTGGTCTCTCATCCAAGCACTAACTACGGTGGACTTTGCTTAGCTTCCGAGACCTGACAAGATGGGGCTAGCCTTGGCCATCCAGGTCGGGGCATGCCAGTCCACCGCTGTAAAATTTAACAAAAGGCCAGAGACCCTTTAAAGGCTAATAAAAACTCCTTCCAGCATAAACGTCCATGAATCACCACATTCCAGGTTTAATTAACATCTGATGAAGTGAGCTCCAACTCACTAAAATTGATGCTGGAGCTTACAGTGTAATTCAACACAGGTACACCCTTCCAATTCCTTTGAGGTCAATGGGTTTAGAAGGCTATTTTAGGATCACCCTGCAAATGTGGCTCGTCTTCAAGGTGCCACTGGAGTTCTGTTTAATTAGGCGTACTACCAGGCAGAAATGCACCTAGTGAGTGGTATAATTTGGAAGAAGGAGGCTGAAATAAATGTTCCATGAATGGGGGCTGTGGCCTGGGCATCCAGGGCAGGGCTCAGTTTTGCAACACAGAGTCAGTGGCAGAGCATCTGCTTGGCTTTCAGAAAGTCCCAGGTTCTATCCCCGGCATCTCCAGGTAAAGGACAAGGGAGCTGGCGGTGCGAAAGACCTCAGCCAGGGGAGCCGCTGCCAGCCTGAGTAGGCAATACTGACCTTGATGGTCTGATTCAGCAGAAGGCAGCTTCAGGTGTGTTTTTCCAACACAGTGCTTGGCCAACCAGGACATTCATCTGACGGTTCATTCTTGGTCTACCTGTTTGTGGGGCTGAACTTCTGCTCTATAGAATCTCAGGTAGAGAAGGGCCTCTCCCTAAAACATAGGGTTGCCAGTCTCCAGGTGGGGCCTGGGGATCTCCCGCTTTTGCAACTGACCTCCAGCTGACAGAGATCAGCTCCCCTGGAGAAAACAGCTGCTTTGAAGGGGGGACTCTGTGGCATCGTACCGTGCTGAGGCCCCCTCCCCTCCCTAAACCCCACCCTCTCCTGGATCCACCCCCAAAGTCTCCAGGCATTTTCCAACCCTACTAAAACAACTACCTATGGTCCTTTAACTTGAGCCTGGTGAGGAATGAACCTGTGAACCTTCCGCATGCAACAAGCACGGCCTACCTACCCTCCCATGAAGGACGTAGAGACATTGGCGATTTTAGCATTCAAACGGGATAACGAGATAGAAAGAGAAAGAAAAGTAGCTCAGCCTTTGAAGTCACTGAAGATTTCTTCCTTTTGAATCACTCCAGCCTTTCCATAAATCAATCTGCAGGGCTTTAAAAAGCATTATCTACAAGAAAGCTCATCACTGGCTTCTATCGTGACCCTGTCTCTCTCCATAGCCTTTTTTAAAAATTCTTTTTAAAGCAAACATTATGACCCAGTGCCTGATTTTAGATTAGCACTAGCAACAACTGAGTCCTTGAAAACACTTGTGCATTCCTCTAAAGTGTACTTCCTCTAACATTCATAATAAGTAACTGAAAAAGTGTGCGGGCCCACGAGAGCTCATACCTTGAATAAAACTTTGTTGGTCTTAAAGGTGCCCCTGGACTCTAATTTCCCCCCCCCCCTGCTGCTTCAGACCAACACGGCTAACCACCTGGGTCCATAATAAGAATTAAACTGTTTTAATTGGTACATTAATCTACTAAAATATAACCTGGGCAGTGTTAAGAGCTGAGAGGTAAGGGTGTGTTTGTTTTGGTTTTGGAGCGTTACTACAGCCAGGAATTAAAAAAGTGAAGATAGCCTTTGTTTATTCGAGAAGGGTAGCCGTGTTAGTCTGTCGTAGCAAAACAGAACAGTCCAGCATGAGTTTTTGTGAGACACTGGGCTATTCTGCACTTCTTATTTTTATCGTTTTTGTGCCCATACTGCAGCAGGGATTTCCCCCTTTTCGGCCTGTGTTTTGCTCCCTCTAGTGGTCACGCCGATATTTTGTCACTGTATCTCCAGCTTATTTCCCTGCACTTTTAAAGCTGGTGATACAACAATGAAATATTGAAGCAACCACTAGAGGGAGCAAAACACGCGCAGAAAAGAAAAAAACACAGATGCAATAAGGGCACACAAGGGATGAAATAACATGCAAGGGAAACCCAAGAGCCAGGGCTGCTGACCACCAGGTGGGGCTGGGAGTTCTCCTGAAATTACAACTGATCTGCAATCTACAGTGATCAGTTCTAATGAAAGAAATGACATTTTTAGACAGTGGATTCTATGGCATCCCATCATGACTGGGTTCTCTTCCATCTCCAAACTCTACCCTTCACCTCCAAACCTCCAAGGATTTCCCAGCCTGGAGTTGGCAACCCTAGCCTCCCTTCTTTGGATGCCCTGTGATTTACACCTGAAGAAGTGAGATCTGACGCACGAAACCTCATGCTGGAATAAATGTTATTGGCCTTTAAGGCGCCACCGCTGGACTTCTGTTTTGTTTAGCCTTGAAATGAAAACATAAGCTGTCTCGTGGCTCTCTGCAATATCTCAAAAAGGTACCTACTTTCAGGTCTCGGTAAGATGAATTTTTTTTAATTGGTTGACCGTCCTAGTAATAAGTATTTAAATACTACGCCCCTCAATCATTGACTTTATAGCCCATCTGAGAGTGTTAGAGTGCAACTCTACGCAAAGTCACACCCTTCTCTTTGAAGTCTATGGATTTGGAAGGGTGTAACTTTCCTTGGGCCTGTTCTGTTAATGCGTTGGCATGAGCCTCCGCCTTATTTCTATTGCCGACTGCCTGACGCAATGCAAAATACAAATAATGGGCACATTCCAGCCAAAATTAAGCACCTTAGCATTTAAACTTTCTCTTGCTGAAGTGAACATGACTTTGGCTGAACTGCAGGAGGTAATATCTGTGGCTTTATTTACAACACTTTTGCGGGGTTTTTTACCCCACAATGTTTAGCTCAAGCAGAGATTCCTCTTGTGATTTCAAAATGTGCAAAAAAAAGAGTCAGTTTTTCAAACTTAGGTAAAAAATCAGTAGAGTTGCTCCATATGTGTTGGTCGGATATGAAGCCATGAGTTTTCAAACATTTGCACAGACGTAGTTAAAATAGCTTGAGGACCAATGGTGTTCATGCATTTCCTAACATTTTAGAAGTGAACAAAAACTTTGATTAAAAATTACAGTTCTTACCTTTTGTGGTGTTCCCTGTGGTCAGTGGGGGGCTTCTGGCCTGGAACGGGGGGAGGCATCCATGACTGCCTGTTCAGAATGAATGGACAATTGCTTGTTTGGTGAGCTCTTTCATATGTGGATGGAAAAAATCTAAGATGTTTTGCAGCCTGTAGGTCAATTCAAGTCCCACTTCAACCCTCGCATCAATGTGACTTTAAAATGTTCAACTTTTGCTGGATTGCGCCAACTGAATTTTTCATTTCAAGAAGATTCAAAGCTTGCCATCATTTATTTCTGCTTTTTTCCTTCTCTTAGTAAAAAAATCAGAGACGAAATGTCTTTCCAAGGTCCTTAAGTAGAACGATCTCAGGAATAAAATTGCCAGTTCTCCCCCAAGAAGAGGAGAAGAGCATGTGTTTATACTGCGCTTTTCTTTAAGGAGTCTCAAAGTGGCTTACGATCGCCTTCCCTTCCTCTCCCCACGACAGACACCTTGTGAGGCAGGTGGGGGCTGAGAGAGTTCGGAGAGAACTGTGACTGGCCCAAGGTCACCCAGCAGGCTTCATGTGGAGAAGTGGGGAATCAAACCCAGTTCTCCGGATTAGAATCCACTGCTCTTAACCATGGGGTTGCCTGCCAGGTCCTTTGGACTAGCTGGCATGGTAATGGGGGGTAAACTTACCGGAAGCAGGGAGGAGCACCGAAAATAAGCGTGACATGCCTACATGAGCCAGAAGTGATGTAGGCACATCGGGGGTGATGCTCTGGTTTTGGGACAAAAACTCTATGGTAGAATTAGCTTCTAATGTAGGGTTTTGACCCAAAACCAGAGCATACCCCCCCATCCCCAATGTGCCCACTTCACTTCCAGATCATGTAGGCATGTCACATTAATTTCTGGTGTTCTTCCCTGTTTGGGGGGGGGGGAATTCACCTTCTAAGCCAGCTGGCCAGCAGTGGAGAGGTGGGGTCTGAAAGCAGGGGACCCCCACCTCCATCGGGGGGAGGGTGGTCTGGCATCTCTACTTAACCACTACACCATGCTGGATCACAGCTATTGCTCAGGTTTGGGTTGGTTTTTTTTTACCTCATCTCCTCAGAAAGCGGTCATCACCAAGTGGGATTTTCCCACTTCCCCCTCTTGCCACAACACATTGAGCCCCCCTCCCCAATATTGTTCCTGGAGGTCAGCAGACTACCAGGAACAGAATAAAGGGGTCAGACTGAGAAACTGGCAGAAATTGTTGACCCGATGGAAGGGCCCATCATTCTTTCGAACTGTGTAGTGCAGAGTCACAAAAGCAATCTCTGGCATCTTCATTTTAAAGAATATCAGGACAGAGGTGGGAAGGGCCATTGCCTGAAGTGACAGAAGGTTCTAGAATTCTCTCTGGAGTTTTCTCCTAACACTACCGATCATGCTGCATTCTTCCACATGCAATTCTATACACACAGAGAGAGGGGGGAAACACCCCCCCCGAAAACACATAAAAGGCTCTCCATGCCATGTATATCACACGAAAACAGAAACATCGTAAGAGTTGAAAAATGTTTATTGCAGCATAAGCTTCCATGGACTAGAGTTAATTTCACCAGATACACAGTGGCCTCATGCATTTGATGAAGTGAGTTCCAGCACACAAAGAGCTTGCTTATTTTTTAATTTAATAGGCTGAAGTGTGAAACCAAGACAGGGTGCTGCTAACACAAATTATTTCTAGCATTACCAAGGTTCCCCCCCCCCTCGGTTTTTGGAGGCCCTTTTGCCAAGAGCCTGAACTGTAGACACTGATGCCATGTTAGAGACAAATTTAGGCACTTGTGAGGACACGCAATGAAAGGAACTGGTTTGTTTGATTTGTTTTCAATCCCCTTACTATGCTGAGGATTATTAGGAAGGGGACTGAAAACCAATCAGCCAGTATCATAATGCCCCTGTATAAATTGATGGTGCAGCCTCATTTGGAATATTGTGTACAGTTCTAGTCATCACACCTCAAAAAAGATATTGTAGCATTGGAAAAGGTACAGTAAAGGGCAATTAGAATGATTAAGGGGATGGAATAACTTCTCTATGCAGAAAGGTTAAACAGATTAGGGCTCTTTAGCTTGGAGAAACAATGACCGAGGGATGACATGATAGAGGTTTACATTATGCATGGGATCAGATAGAGAAAGAAGTACTTTTCTCCATTTCTCACCATATAGGAACTTGGGGGCACTCAATGAAATTAATGAGCAGTAAGCTTAGAACAGATAAAAGGAAGTACTTCTTCGCCCAAAGAGTCATTAACATGTGGAATTCACTGCCACAGGAAATGGTGGTGGCTACAAGCATAGACAGTTTCAAGAGGGGATTGGATAAACATATGGAGCAGAGGTCCATCAGTGGCTATTAGCCACAAGGTATAGATGGAACACTCTACGTCTGGGTCAGGGATGCGCTGTACTCTTGTTGCTTGGGGGGCAACAGTGGGAGGGCTTCTGGAGTTCTGGCCCCACTGGTGGACCTCTTGATGGCCCCTGGGTTTGGGCCACTGTGTGACACAGAGTGTTGGACTGATCCAACATGGCTTCTCTTATGTTCTTATGTTCTAACTGGTGATCTTAGCCCCTCCCCCCATGTGCTAAAACAGCCATTATTTTAGAATTTGACAAAGCATGTGGGTGAGGGTGACAAGATCAGCTGTTCCCACCACACTGCAGGCCCAATCAGGACTGGGCCCTTGTGGCATTTTCAAATGGACACTATAACCTCTAGTTTGGCCCCAAGTCTATATAATTTTCTGGCATAAGGAGCAATTCTTCTGCACCACTTAATATTTTGTCTCCCTGGGTCAGCGTCAGTACAAAACATTCATGTTTCCATACACAGTCTATATTCCACAGCAGTAAGAATGAAGAAGTCCTGTTAAATACCTTTTCTTCTTCACTGGAGATACGACGTTGTCCATGTTCCCAGGTACAAAATATCCCTTGCTGAGAGAAAGGCACAGTTGACGGTTTTCAGACATAATTTAAGATCTCAGAAAGATAGCAACATGGTCTACCACAAGGTTAGTCCTTCCTTTACAAGAACTAATGATGCACCCCATTTGATAATGTAACTAATGCATTCAAAAGCAATGGCACCAAACTAGAAATCCCCCAGTTGGGTTTTTCATACAGTTAACATTAAATGTACTTAATTTTGCTATAAACATGCCAAATTTAACATTATTGAACTTAGCTTTCCGTACAATGTATTAATTCTGGCTGTTTTTTGTTAATTAAAAAAAAGGATAACAACTGTTATTGTTAAAACAATTTAAATAAGATCGGTCTCTTTAGAAGTAAATTTATTCTTCAAATCTAGTAAGGGAACCTATCCTGATGGCCAAGTGCTTCTAAATATCATCAGCCAGATGTTCTCTTTGGCTATAAAATTATGCATGGTATGGAGAGAGTGGACAGGGAGAAGTTTTTCTCCTCCCATAATCCTAGAACCCCAGGGTCATCCACTGAAGCTGAAGGATGGGAGATTCACACAGACCATAGTTAAACTGTGGAACTCGCTGCCACAGGATGTGGTGGTGCCCACCAACGTGGAAGGCTTTAAAGGGGGAGTGGACAAATTCAGGGAGGACGAGGCTATCCATGGCTACTAATCCTGATGGATATCTATTCCCTCCCATATCAGAGGCAGTATGTCTCTTTAAATCAGTTGCTGGGGAGCGGGGTGGGGTGAGGGATGCTGTTGCAGCCATCCTACTTGTGGGCTTCCTAGAGGCAGCTGCTTGGCCACTGTGTCAACAGAATGCTGGACTTGATGGAACTTTGGTCTGACCCAGCAGGGCTCTTCTTATCTTCTTATGTAATTTTTCCCCCCTCACTCCCTGGCTCTTGGAGTGTATGTGTCACAGTGTATTGGGCCATTACTGGAAATCGTAGGCTCTTGCGCTCATTTCATATCCCCATCAAGATTCCTCTTGAGTGGGTATGTGTTTCTCCAATAACCTGCAACCGGGCTGGATTGAGAAACTGGAGGTGTCTTCAGCCCCACACCGTGGCATGGATAGGCCAAGCTAGCCCAATCTTGGAAGCTAAGCAGGGGCAGCCCTGGTTAGTATTTGGATGGGAGACCACCAAGGAAGTCCAGGGTCATGATGCGTAGTTAGGCAGTGGCAAACCATCTCTGCACGTCTCCTGCCTTGAAAACCCCAACAGGGGTCGCCATAAGTCAACTGTGGCTTGACGGCACTTCCCGCCACTACATGAGCCCTGCACCCACCCCAGTTTCTGACGCTGACCTACTGAGCCAGACAGACTTTCAGATGGTGAAGAAGGGCTCTGGTTGACACTTACGCAAATCCCTCTGCATGCCCATGAAGAGATGGATTATGCTGTGAGAGATCTAAACAGTTTTTTTTTTAATGGATAGATCAATTAGGGAAAATGTATATCTATCTGTGGGGAAAGGTTGGCTGTACCTCTGTTATCCATGATTAGAGGATCAAAGAGACTGTGGTTCTTACGCACGGTAAGGAATGCCAGATTCAAGAGCTGGCACGTTTTTTATAAGACTTGGCTCACACTTGGCTCTCTGTTACATATATTCTCTTGACACTGCACTGGTCCTGCCCCCCTGGCTAGCTTCCATGCCGTTATCAACACCACCTGAACGTTATGCATCCGGCTGGGTGACCACCAGGAAGGAAAGATGATTGCAAAGGAAGAGGCCAGTGTCTTTATACCAAACCTGGTGATGCTGCTTAAATTGAAGACTCTGAAGCCGTGCTCATACATACCCATTATTTGGTCTGCTATCCAAGGCGGGAAACTTATTTGCTTTGTCAGCATTATTCCTGTCAGAAATTCTAAACAAAGAGAAGTAGCAAAATTAAGGCTTTTTGTTTTTGTTTTTTTACTGAAGAACAGAAACTACCTTTTAAAAATGCCTGAATTAAAATGTCAACTTTGGATATATCCTAGCAAAGCAGAAAAACCTTGCCATAACCGCAGCACACAATTGTACAGTGATAATGAGGGGAACGGACTAGAATAACAGCTGACTCAATACAACATTATTGCTTATTTGTTTGGGAAAGTTTGCCGGCTTTCCAAGTTATTTTAATGAAGCTTTTTTATACGAGAAAAGCCAATGAATTATTCAATGTCCCGATATTATTGTACATCCCTTTCTAAATGAGTCTTGCATGACAGGGAGAGATATCAAGTACTTTTGGCAAGTCCTTTAATGAAGAAAGAAAGCGCCTTATGCAATCAAAACAATCCCTCGTTGCTCCGTATGGAATACAGCACTTTTTCTCCACAGTGGCTTTTGGAGATCAATATGATTGGGAGAAGCTCTTCATATATGATTCCTTGTGGGACGCAGTTGAGGAGTTTACAAGTCAAGGAATCTGGAGTCACAGCATTCAGCATTGATTTCATTAAGCCATTAGATTTACATTAAAGAAAAGGCACGTGCCCTTTCCTGGCCTTTATCGATTTTATATCACTGTTGAAAAAAACCTTTTCCTGACGTCCCCTGAAATGGTTCTGCCATCCAGCTCTTGGTATCCGGGCATTCAAGGTGATTTACAATCACAAATAACTTTCTATAAGATAATACACACACACAACTAGGGGTGCCAGGTCTCCCATTGTGGCAGAAGACTTCCCAGGCATCCGCTCCATTGCCCATGGGCACATCAGTGGCCGGCAGGAGGAAAAGAGGGGAAATGGGGGGCTGGCACTGAGCCATCACCTGATGTCACTTCTGGCGGAAACTAGAAGTGGGGTCATGGTGTCAGGGGAGATTCTCTAGGGCTTGTCAAAAACTCTATGGTTTAGTCACAAAATACTATAAAAAAATAATCCCCTAAAGGGAATCAGTATTTCCACCGAAGTTACTCTTCCGCTACCTTACTCAAAACCACAATTTAGTTCTTCTAGATAAAACTGGCAAAATACCTTTGCAAGGCACTTACTACTTATCACATCTGTGTCCCACCCTTTCTCAGAGGAGCTCAGAACTTCAGACATGGGGCCATTCCACTGTATCATCGCAACACCACTATGGAGTAAGTTCAGTCTAAGCACAGTTACACCCTTTCAAGTCTACTGAGGTCAAAGGGCTCAGAAGGGTGTAGCTCTGTTTATGAGAGCATTGTTAGGCGGAGAGGTAGCAATTTGCCTATGGTCATCTCGTGAGCTTCATGAATGAATGCACATTTGAACCTAGGTCTCACCAGTCCAAATGCAACTATTTGCTGTACCTGGGTCTCCCCTGCACCACAGGTATAAGAACATAAGAACATAAGAGACGCCAATGTTGGATCAGGCCAAAGGCCTATCTAGTCCATCACTCTGTCATACAGTGTCCAAAAATACCAGGTGCCATCAGGAGGTCCACCGGTGGGGCCAGGACATTAGATGCCCTCCCACTGTTGACCCCCCCAAGCACCAAGAAGACAGAGCATCACTTGCCCCAGAGCCCCTATCTATACCTTGTGGCTAATAGCCAATGATGGACAGTCTGATTGAAATAACAAGCATAGCCTGTTTGAGCCATCCAAGAACCTCATTATATCCCATCACAGTAATGTAAAAGACCAGCAAATGCAAGGCGATAAAATAGTATCTCTAAGTCCAATACCTATTGAGAGCAGTGTCCGATCCATAATGGCTAAGTGAAGCTTTCTTTTCATCCTTTTCATCCGTGTTCCTGTCAATAAGAAAGATGAGTTAATTATCACAATGGTGGGATGTTATAGACATTTAAAGATGACTTTCAACCTCCAAAGTAAACAAATTAATCTGCCAGCTGGTTGACCTCTGGCATTGTGAATTAATGAATACATCACACTATCTTAGCTGAGGTTATTATTTGAGGATATTTAATAAACGTTGTAGTTTTCCTTGACTAAGTACTATTAATAAGTCAATGACTGATAGGAAACTGTCTTCATGCTCCCACAAAATCATCAGGTTTGTGCATGTGGACACACAGTAATATCCCGAGTAGTAAATATTCTACCACAGTTGTCCAACCCAAATTAACCTATTTGAATGTGGACTGATTTAACCATGGTGATCAATCCCTAACACGTGTAAAGGGCCATCAAGCCATAGCCGTGAGTGAGACACAGAGGTGGTTTGCCATTGCCTTCCTCTGCAGAGTTTTCCTTGGTGGTCTCTCTTCCAAGTACCAACCCTGCTTAGCTTCTGAGAACGGACGAGATCGGGCTATACCGTGTTGCCTTCCCTCCCCAATCCCTAATACACATGCAATATTTTTTCAACTTTCATTGCATTCTCAGCAGTTTAATAACCCATAAAATAATGTGCAATCAATACGGCAACAGACCGACAAAACCCCAAATAAATCAGCCATGCTCCCTTAAAGTCAATAAAATGCCCTCTTTAGGTATGGATGTCTTACACCTCTTTCGAAGGCGTAGTAGTACCCCCTTACCTCTTCAGGCAGAAGAAGAAGAAGAGAAGAGATTGGATTTATACTCCGCCCTTCACTTGGAGTCTCAGAGCGGCTTACAAACTCCTTTCCCTTCCCCTCCCCACCACAGACACCCTGTGAGGTAGGCAGGGCTGAGAGAACTCTGACACAAACTGCTCTTTCAGGAACAGCTATGCCAGAGCTTGTGACTGACCCAAGGTCACATCAGCAGGTGCAAGTGGAGGAGTGGGGAATCAAACCCGGTTCTCCCAGATTAGAGTCCGCGCACTTAACCACTACACCAAACTGGCTCCAGAAAGGTAGGCCATTCTGACTGAATGCACTGACTGAAAAAGTCCACGCAATGGCAGAGACAGATTGAGCAGCTCTAGAAGGAGGTACATTAAACAGGAGCTGATCCAAAGAGCAGAGCTGAAGAGGCAATCCCTCAGATATGGGGCTCCCAGGACTTACAAGGCTTGAAAGGTCAAAACCAGCACCTTGAATTGAACTTGGAAATCAAGGTAGATGTTCCAAGTCAGGCATAATATGTTCAAATCGGCTTACCCAGCCGACAAACAGGCCATTCTAATAAGATAACTGGCTGTGTCGAATGCCACGAAGAGATCCAACAGAATCAAAAGATCGTCCGCCAGAACAACCAAGGCTGTTTCCATCCTAAAATAGTCCTGAAGCCAGACTGAAAAGGAGCATGGGCAAATAAATAAGACCGTATTCAACCTCTCTCCCACTTCCTTGAAAATGAGAATTTAGATCAGGCTTTTCAGATCTGAGCACTGCGTTCAGGGGCCCAGAACCGACTGGCCCTCCTAAGACAACCAGGGCGTGGGCTTTCTCGGTGGTGGCTCCATCCTGGTGGAATGAGCTCCCAGAGGAGATCAGGGCCCTGTGGGACCTATCAGAGTTCCGCAGGGCCTGTAAAACGGAGCTCTTCCGCCAGGCTTTTGGAGCCGCTGCCACTATCAACAACTAGGATAAGAAGCCCGCTGCCCCGGAATCTATATTAACAGCCTGTACTAGCAGCCGGGAAAGACACCTGAAGACATCTATAGAAGATCTGCGAGCCGGCCATGGGAAGAGAGAGAGTTGATGGTAGCCATCATGAAAATTACTGGAATCTAGCACTTATTAAGGGACTGTAATTTTTTAATATTGTTTTAAAATGTTTTATTATATTATTAAATGTTTTGCTGATTTTAATGTAAGCTGCCCTGAGCCGGCCTCGGTCAGGAGGGCGGGGTACAAATGTGAACAAATAAATAAATAAATCTGCATTCCTATAGCTCCTATGGAAATGTCATGTCCCCCCTGGTTCTCTGCTCCCCTCAAACAGCAGTAGGTAGAACAGACGTATTATCAGCCTGAAACAGGGTTGCCAGGTACCTTCCTGGCCACTGGCGGGGGATAGGGGCCATAGGGTTGCCAGATCCAGCTGGGGAAACTCTTGGAGATTTGGGGGGGGCGCCTGGGGAGGAGGGGGACCTCAGTGGGGTTAGGGTTAGGGTTAGGGTTAGGGGTTAGGGTTTTGTAGGTATATCTTGATTGGTGAGGTAAATACTATTCTGAAGTCAAACAGAAAAATCTTAGTTAAACCAGACTCCTGAATGGATTCAGCCAGCTTGCTGAGGTACAGCAAGCTTCCACAACAGAGGAAATAATGGCAGTCGGGGCACTTTACTAGGGTTTCAGTTCAGTGATGGACTGAATGAGGGACTTAGGAGCAAGTGTCCAACCAGAACCGAATATACTCTCATTAACGGAAGATTCACAGCTAAGGGGTTCTCCTGGGTCAGCCCTGGATGTCTCAGTGGCGGGCAGTGTCCTTCCCTGGTGCAAAAGATCTAGCCGTAAGCGCTGTGATAGTATCCAGGCAACACTTCTGGAAGACGGTTTTTAATGGGCTGATTTGAAGACTGTTTGGAAAGCACAACTGGTTCAGAATGTGGAAGCGAGAATGTCATCTGGATGTAGGGTTGCCAAGTGAAAATTCCTCCGGAGCGGGGGACTCCCGTCTGGCGTCTGGAGCGCCACATCACCCAGAAGTGACATGACGACACAGGGCACGCTGGGGGCGGGGCCACAACCATCCGAGGGAAAACCATAGAGTGCCTGACGTGGTCGCGTCACTTCCAGGTGATGTGCACGTTGGGATGGGGTTCCCCCCGGGGCCCAATCCGCCGCCGGCGGCGAACGGGCCTCTGGGGTGGGCCGATCTGCCGGCAGCGGGGAACGGGCCTCTGGGTCGGGGGTTTCCCCGCCCCCCGGGGGGACTAGGCAGGCCTATCTGGATGGAACAATTTACTCCCATTTTGTAACGTCTTCGCTGGCTGCCAGAGCCCAATAAATAGTACCGGTTTTGACCACTGAAGCCCTACAAGGTCTGAGGCCAGGATATATCAAGGATTGCATTCATCAGGATGAACTTATGTGGTCACCCAGATGTAGGGATGGGAGCTCCGAGTTGGGAAATTCCTGGAGAATTGAGGGTGGAACCTGGGGAGGGTGGGGTTGAGAGAGGGGAGGGACCTCAGCATGGTACAATGCCACAGAATTCACCCTCCAAAGCAGCCATTTTCTCCAAGGGAACTGATCTCTGTCAGCTGGAGAGACAAGATATAATTCCAGGGGGTCCCCAGGTCCCACCTGGAGGCTGGTATCCCTACTCAGATGACCTCGGGAGGCCCTGCTCTGTATTTCTCTCCTCACTTAATAGTCTATTTATGAAACAGAGTTAACGTTCAGCCGTGGCACTGCCTTTCAAGAGAGATTAATCTGGCTGCCTCTTTATTTGTCGCGGGTCAGAGGTCGCTCTGGTTGATGGATAATTAACATTTTTACCTGCTCTTTCCTCATGCTACTGCTGTGACTACCATGTTGCTATTTTATTATAATATTTTTTTAATATTCTTGCTTTTTTAAAAAGAAAAGACAGAAATTAAGCTGCCTTGTAGATTTAAAAGGTTACAAAAGTGGAAGAGTACATGTTAAATAAATAACATCCAGAGCAGGCCTAGAGCTACTGTGGGGCATTTCGGGGGGGGGGGTCTCAAATATGACGCACGCCCCACAACAGCTGCTGCCCCTCTACCCCTCCCCCTCCTCCCACCAACCCAAGAGCAAACTTATGTAGGCTACAGTCCTGCGACTGTTTAGAAAAATGGGTAGGACGGTACAGATTAACATGTTACTGCACCTGTGTAAGCTTTCTTGTGACTTGTATTGGTTCAGGACAACTCTGCCATAGTTTTCTTCAACACTGTAACAGAAGACACATTTGACATCAGCATCGTCATCATTTACAAGCTGCCTAAGCACGGCACACTCGGCAGCGCGCGCGCACGTTTCTGTTCTATGACACCGAGAAGTGGGAAGAGGATGGAACAAAATAGGAATGAGGAGAAAAAAAGCAGAGTAGGGGAAATATTCAACGAGCAACATTTCCATAGAGTTTTGAAAACAAAAAAGCGAGAAATTTATTTCTCTAATAGCCTTGCCCCATCTATTCTAAATCCCCTGCAGTATGATAAAGCTCTGGGCGGATGTTCAGATGGAGTTCTCCCAAGGAGCACTTTTGCACATTTTAGGAGTATACATGGAGCTTTTTATGGGGCTTGTAATGCTGTGATGCTTTTGGTGCACTCAATGGACCTACAGCAAATCCAGGATATGCTGTGACTTTATATGACTTATAATTTGGCTTCGTGGAAGCTGGAATCCTGCAGCTGCATTTCAGTGCTGTTGGGCTTCTAGTCATTAATGTACAATGAACAAACGCCAAAGAACAAGAAACTATGGAATGAAGGCTGTCAATAGGCAAGTTGGCTGGTTCCAACATGTGCAGTAAAGGTTCATATGTTTGAGCCTTGAAGGGTTTGTTCAGATTCTTTCCATGATTCACTGACAAGCTCTGGTACATTATACATGCATGACAGGAAACCACATGAGGTATCAACCTTGCTGAAACTAAGCAGGTCTAGAGTCGTTCAGTGCCTAAATGGCAGAACTCCTGGGAACCCTTTGAGTTTCATGGTGGAAGAAAGGTGGGAGATGGGTCCATCCATCCATCCATCCATCCATCCATCCATCTATCTATCATCTATCTATCTATCTATCCATCCATCTATCCATCCACCCACCCACCCATCCATCCATCCATCCATCTATCCATCCATCTATCCATCCACCCATCTATCTATCTATCTATCTATCTATCTATCTATCTATCAATCTATCTATCTATCCATCTATCCATCCATCTATCCATCCATCC